CATGCAATGCTCTCTTTAAACTTTTGGACTGTGGCTTTTAAAATTCTTAGTGCGAGACTCAACAGCCCCTTCTACTATTCCATGCACTATTCCATGCACAGTCACTCTTTCTCTCCTGCCTCACCGATGCTCCTGTAAAAATCGGCAACACCATCACATGATCCTCCTTCAAGTCCCTCTATAAAACTCACCTCTGCAGTGATGCATATAAAAACCTCACAATAAGGGTAGGCAGCTGGTGTGCTGCAACCACTATCTATTGTGCTGACCATAGCATCTCATTAATACCTTGGGATCCCCCTCAGTCTGATGTGTCCACATGTTATTCCCCATCTTACCCTGGGCTTGTCTACAAAGGGGAAACTGCCCAAAATGGCTGTTCTGGAATAGCTGCCCATGTGGACCCTCTCTTCTGGAATGAAAGAAATGTTATTCCCGAATACAAGTGACTTTTATTCTGAAATAGAGAGTCCACCAGGAGAGGTATTCTGGAATAGATTATTCCACGGTATCCTATTCTGGTCAATTTCCCCAAGCTGCTAGGCCCCAATCCTGCAAACACTTCTACCATGTCTACACTAGGAGCCCTTTACTAGGATAGGAATACCAGCATACTATACAGGCAAAGTGCTCCTAATGGGGACGCAGCTATAACCAACAAGGCTGTGTTTTGTACACTATAGTAAAACCGCCCGCCATGAGTGTAACAAGCTATACCAGAAAAGACACAGCTTCATTAGGGGGTTCTATTGGCACCGCTACCGCTCTGGGGTCACTCCTCTTCATGCCCTGACTGACAGCTATGTCAGCAGAAGTCTGTAGTGTAGATCCGGCCATGAGTAACCCCATTAAAGCTACAGTACTCATGGTAGTAAGTTAAATACTTGTGAAAGGCCTGGTCTATGCTACAGAAGTTGTACCAGTATAACAGCATAGGAGAGGGGTGTGATGTTTTATGGGTATAGTTATATAGATATAAGCCCTTGTGCAGATGCAGTTAGAATCATAGAAGATTAGGGTTGGAAGAGACCTCAGGAGGTCATCTAGTCCAACCCCCTGCTCAAAGCAGGACCAACACCCACTAAATCATCCCAGCCAGGGCTTTGTCAAGCCAGACCTTAAAAACCTCTAAGGATGGAGATTCCACCACCTCCCTAGGTAACCCATTTATCTCAGTATAAAGATGCCTTATACCATGGTAGCTTATTTTGCCTCCCAAAACAGAATATAGCTTATTCTGTCCACATTAGGAGGGGACGTGGTCTCTTTAACTCTACAAGCAGCCACACTTTTACCTTATATCTGCAAACACTTAGGCTTGGGTTATGTCTACACTATGAGTGCTGCTGCAGTTGTGGCGCAGTAGTGTCGTAGCGTAGATGCTTCCTACTGTGACGGAATAGGTTTTTCCATCAATGCAGGGAATCCACCTCCCCGACCTAGCAGCACTTATGTCAGGGGTTAGGTCAGTTTACTAACAGCGCTCATGGGCATGAATGTTTTTTACACCCCTGAGCGACGTAGCTAGGACAATCTAAATTTTAAGTGTTGACCACGGCTTGGTCTACACTTCAAACTTATACTGGAGTATTGGTCAGAAGTGTGAAAAAAACAGACTCCCGGTGACATAGATATGCCAACAAACCATCAGTATAGGGCTTCTGTTGACATAGCTAATGTCATTCAGGGCGGCAGTGTGGGAAGAAAACCCTTTTTCTGTTGGTGTACATGGAGGGCTACGCCGGCATAAGCTCTGTAGTGTAGATAGCCTTACCCTCATGCTTAACTTCACTGCCATAGGTAGTCCCCATTGAAAGAACCAGCCACAGTAGTAAAGTTAAGCACGTTTGTAGCGTTGGGATTTTAGACTGCAAAATTTGTGGGAGGAGCCATCTTTTTTGTCAACTGTTTGTACAGCACCTAGCACAATGGGGGTCCTGATTTTTAAAATGACTTATTAATGAAAACAGGAAAGCTCATTAGAATCAGGAATGGAGGGAAAAACACCCACCACACATTTTTGCTTAAAAAACAAAGCAGAATCCTACACATCACACATCATGCACTCCCCCCAACCCTCCTCTGCAGGGCCTTGACAAGTAACTGTTTTGCCTTGTAAATATTATCTTATATTGTGAAACATCAATTGTCTATGTTAATCCATTGTGGTTTCTTCCCTTCCCCCTCAATCACCACCCAACCCCATATAAAATATTGAGCTTAATATTAAAAATTATGGTGGGGCCTTATACAAACTTTGCTACATGCGCTCTGTGTTCGTGAGGGAAAGGCTCTATTCCTCTACAGTTTCAGGAGAGATGGCGATTTTAAGCTTCTATTAATTTTCCCTTCTATTAATTTGGCTGCAAGTTTATATTTCATTGCAAAACTGCCCTTGTTTCTCTGGAAGCCAAGGACAATAGCAAACACACCCAGCTTCTTAACATCTGCCATCTTTAATATGTAATTGGCCGGGGATTAAGGTTGCAAAGGAAGGTCCCACTGAAAGTATTTGATAAAGATATTTCTTTCTTTCACAATATATCCCCCACCCCCTGCCATCCCGTGTCTTTAGTTAGAGACAAACACAAAGCTTGAATGTGGCTGCTCTTGGGATTATTAGCAATTTAAATATTTGGAATTCTCCTAAGAGTTTATGTTGATTGTGGACACTGGAAACTTGCTATTTCACTTTTCCTACACACACACACACACACACACACACACACAACATACACTGTTTATTTGCATTCAAGAAGAGCGGAGGGTGGAATTCAGGTTTCACTGAGCTTGCTAAACTCACAGTGGCCCTAAAATTTGATCATGATGAGCCACTGTGCAGGTAGATGGCAGATGTGGCTTGGCTCCTAACATAAAGCCTGCTCCTTGAAGAAATGAATGCTGCTACCTGTTTGGATTGGCTGTGTCCAAAAAAACATGGAGACCACATGTGAAATAGAGCAGGTGCATTGGCATGGAGTAGGCCTGGCTGAGTAACTTCTCTGATTCAATTAATACAGCCCTGGAGTGCTTCAGACGGAAGCCCATATAGACTCTTGTTTTATTCACACATACAAAGCCTCTTTTTTTCCCCCTTCCCTTTCTAGTGCAAGCTTTCCTAGGTGCCATCTGCATCCAGATTTCAGTTGACAAACAAGGGGAGAGTGCTGCTGAATGAATTAAAGAGACAGGACCTTGTAAATATTAATCAAGATGCTTTTTTCTCTGTTTGGCTCTGCAGGAAGTAAGCAGATGGGGAATGGGACGGCCCTTTTACCCAGCTGAAGAGTGGGGATAACGTCCGCCTAATGAATTCCACCAGCAGAACATTTTTACATAAAATCAATGGCTGGATACGAGGTTTAAATATTTTATTAGACCTTCAAGTGGTCAGAAATGTCTAAAAGTGGATAAACGCACCCAAGTCTTTGCTAGTTTTGTGCAAATGTCCCAGATCTTGTGTCATGAAAGAGGGTGGCTTTCAAGATGGGACAAGGGCCCTTGGAGATTGGGAAAGAAGAATGAATGGAAGAATTGCATTCCATAATTAACAGTTGGAAATAAATTGGCTCACTTAAATTCTACTCAAGTTTCTAGTCATTCAGGTGTTTCACTAATTCACTGATGTCTTGTGTGGTTCTTTCCAATAGATGGTTTCGTAATAAATCATTACACACAGATTTTTCCATTGGGGGAAAAAGTGCATTTCATTTTGCACCCTGCCTTTGGTTAAAAAAAAAAAAAAAAAAAAAAACACCCTTTTTTAGAGAATGGTTTCTTCAGAGAATTTTCTTCTCCATAACTAATAAGAAAGGCAGAACATGAGTACATTTTAAGCAAAAGTCTTATCTGTTAATTTAATATTAACAAATTGAAATGAATTATTTTAATGCCAATTAACTTGTAGCTGTCCCTTATTAATAGTAATTTAGATTAATATTTCTTGGAAGCAGGAACATTGGGCTCAGTGTTACGTGCTTGGAATATCAACTGGAGAAGAAAACATCACTTTGAGTCATGAGGAGTTGAGCGCTTTCTTTTTTTCCTTCTTCATCTGAGCCCTTGTTTTTTCAGTCAAAACTCAAAAAGTACATCTTTTTAATGGGTGACTGTCTCTAAAGGTTGCTAGTTTAAAAAGACAAGAGGATCATATTAAAGAGGCTTAAAAACTATCCCATAAAAATTAGATTTCATGATTTCTCCAAAGCCTCCAGTTTCAGGGTCATTATATTGATATATAGATAGATAACCACCTTTAGAAGAATGCTAACAATCAAGAAGCGTAACATATTCTCTACATTCCTAGTACCTTCTTATTTCAATTAAAATAGGCCAATAGATCAAAATACAATTAAATTAAAACTATTCTACAGGATCCACCTTCCTATAAGGTCTGGCTGATGAAACTAGAGTATAATTAATAATAAATTTTCTTACCCACTGATTCTTCCAAATGAGACTTAACTTGGGAGAGAAGAAAGAAAACCCAGACATCTGAAATTAAATGTTATTGCTGGAGAAGGTGAAGGGGGGGGGGGGGAATTAACCAAGGCAATTTGCCAAGGGCTTTAAGAGAAAGAAAGAAAGAAAAGACATTTTAGATTGAAAAGTTGCCTTATAGGTATCAGTAAAGCCACTTTGGGATTTCTATTAACTAGTGTCCACCTGATCTATACAGAAAGTTTGTTGCGTTTCATTACTAAACTCTCACTCTCATACACACACACACAAACAAGCATGTTCATCCATTTTCATTGCAAAAGTAATTTCAAACTTCATCGGCTAAATGAAGATAAAACGATGTATTATGGTTGGATACAGGAGAAGGGGAGGGGGAAAGAAGGGGAGGGAGGGATGTTCCATTAAAAAAAAACCCCACAGCAAGAAGATGCATGCAAGCGAACTTGGGAGTGTGAGAATAAAAAGGGACTTACCTTGAGCAGCCCAGCAGATATTCCAGGAGGGTCTGGTGGGGTGGGCTGGGGTTGGGCTGGGTTGGGGGGAGGGATGAAGTCATGTCCATTTCTCGCAGCCCAGAGAGAGATCTGCTGTAGAAACTGTTTCCTATCATCCCTCTTGTGTGTTTGCCCAGAGAGAGACTGAAAGTTACAAATTGCTGCCATTAACTCATCAAACAGTCCCTCTCCCAGTGAACCTTGGCCATTGGCCAAGAGCCGGCCACGTGATCCCTCCTGCCAATGTATCGAATTTCAGCTGGCTTTTCCTCGGGCTCCTGGACGGGGAAGTGCCCCATTTGACATGGTGCAAGGCGGCCCAGGGCGCGGGACAAGGGGGCTAGCGCGGGTGGGGGCCAGGCCCATGAGAGGAGGATGAACCCTCAGCCGGAGCTGGGCTGGGGGGGAGAGAGCAGGGCTGGCTCTGCGGGGATCTGCCCTGGGGAGCAGAGACTCCGGCATTTGCAGCAGAGGCCGCGCAACATCCGCTGTGCTGGGGAAGATCGCTGCGTGCCGGGAAGGGAGCTCCCAATTGCAGGGCCCCACCCGCCGCATATCCCCTCCCCGCCCGGCCAGCCCCATCCTTTCCCCGCTCCCTCTCGTTATCCCGCGGCTGGGCCCAGGCCCCTTTACACCCCCAGCCAACCTCCCAGCGCCGCTTTCTCCCCAAGTTATAACTCATCCTGCTGCAGTCCCTACCCACCCAGCTCTCCTGACCCCGACTTTCCCGGGGGGGGCCTGCCCCTCTCCTCCTCCGCCTACCCAGCTTGCCTTATTGGACCCCGCTCCGGGGGTCGGGGAGTGGATCGGTACCACGCCTGTAGCCAGGACCCCCCCAGCTGTAACTCTCTGGTGGTGCCAGAAGATAGAGGGGACCTCTCTCAGGATGTTTACGGTGACACGAAAACTTTTGAGTGGATGAGAGTCAAAAGGAACCTTCCCAGAACAGGTGAGTCTGAGATAGAGGCCAGTGCATTTAACTGTGGGTGGCAGATCACTTGGAGAGACCAAGTAACGTCACTAGGTAATAAAAGTGCAAGATATTCAGGTGCCCCCCCCCCCATAGGCGCATGCCCGTCTCTAAGCAGGTCTATTTGCCTTAAATTTTCTCTCTGTCATGATGTTTGTTATGATTACCTCCAAACTACATTTGTTCTCCCGATCTGATTGTGACTTTCAGAACTTTTTTTTCCAATTAAAATCGTCTTGTGTCTAAGATTACTGCTTTCTTTTTTTAAAAAAATCATTCAAGGGGAAACAAACTTTTATTTTTTAGAAAACACGAGTTAAGAGGAAACTGACAAGTTTGTCTACAATTGGCCAGAATGGTCCCAAAATAATTGTTTGATCTCATAGATGGATAGCTATAATCTTAAACATATATCAAATATTTATTTGATCTGTAATATATATACGTATACATATATAGTTTGAAATAAATTTTGAACATGGGGATTGGGAATGTGTGTTTTTGAATTGGGTTATTGTTTCCTTGAAAAATGAACCGTTTTTCAATATTTTAAAATGCCTTTTACAGGAATCTGACTTTTGTCTCGTTTTAATTTAGGCGCGACAACAACACCTGTAAAAGTAATTTAGCGCAAAATAAAAGAGATGAAACAGCGTCCTACTTTTGTATAATTTTAGCAGGTTGGTAATTAACAGGTCTGATTTTTAGTTCTGTGCGCTTGGAATTTAGCTTCAAAATTATTCTATAAAAAATCTGATCTTGAAAACGCTCAATGCATTGCAAAATTCAAAGGGTAGCAGTTATATTCGTTTAGATTACTCCCCAGAGGAAAGTACATGTATTACCTTTTTCAAACTGAGAGGCGGAAAAAACTTTCTCCAAATAGTAAGCCTTGTAATGAAACCATTTTCTGAACTCATCGATAAAATCGGTGTCTTAATAGATAATTAAAAGTTTGTTTACTTCCAACTATATCTGGCTCCTTTCATCATAAATATCTTCCAAGAGATTTATCTCTGACATTTTGCTAAATATTGTATAACTTGAGGGATCTTTTTAAAAAAAATCACAACTTTCTTTAAAATTACCATAGTAGAACCATCTATGCAAACAGATTCGCATTTGCTTCAACCGTTGTCCTGGAAAGTTTATTCCAAGCTTTTGCAAATGTCTGGGTGACATATATATTTTTTTTAAGTTAAATGTTGTTACACAGTATCTCTAACTAACTGGATGTGAAATGATGTATTTTCTCAAGTGGGAGGGGTGGGAAATGCACATTTCGTCCCGGTTTTAACCTTGAAAAAGGAGATCGTTTGGGGTTTCGAAAGGAATTGATATTTTCAAAGGCAATCCAGAGGAACAACCTGAGATTTTAATGTTTTTTTTAAAAATAATCAAACCGAGTTCACTGCCTTCAAGGGATTTCCTCCGTCGTTTGAGTTTAAAGTTCTTTTGACGGCAATAGACAGTGTGATTTTCCAGTTTCTTGGAGTTTGAGTGAAGGGGAACAGATTTTACGTGTGCCAATTGATGTTTGCTTCTCTCCTGTAACTTTTCTGGTGTGGGCTGAAGGCAGTGTTTGTGCAGTTTTCTCTTCTGATGATCTGGGTCTAGAAACGGCTCCCGTCTTCCGAGCAAAGGGGAAAAGTTATTCAAATAACCAAGAAAGCGGCCGCGTGGGGTTAATATGTTTTTTTTAAAGAACAGCTAAAAGCTTTCTCTTTGTTTCGTGCCTTATCTCATTGTTTCACCTTCAAGAGGGGAAGGAGAGGAGTCGGTTAACTGTCATTCACCGAGAGCAAAAATATAACAAGCTGGGGAAAGTTCTTCTTTGTATTTTGCTGATACTGGCCATATATATATCAATCAAAGAACAAGGATGAATTTGAAAGCATTTGCAAAACGAAGGAAAAAAGCAAATAAGAGTCAAATGGTTTCAGATGTTTTTAGTGGGTTTCACATACATTGAAAAGAATTTTTTTTAATGTATGCTCATTTTTCAGCTAGATACAAAGGCAGGGGGCTATTCTTTATGCTAAAGTCTAATAAGAAGTGTGTGAGAGAGAGAAGGTGAAAATTAGAAAGACAGAAGCAGACACACAGGAAGGGAAGAAGATAGATTAGAGACAGAGAGAGATGGAGTGAGAGAGATTTGTTCTTTGATTCGAAAGTTAAGATTACGCTGGTATGTAAACGCAAAAACTTAGACGTCAGACTCAACTCTGCAAAAACAGATTATCTGCTAAATCTCTGACTCAACGCTGCAGATTATCTCCCTTCATTTAGTGCATCGCTTTAATAGCAGTGTTTGAAAATGTAGAAAGAAAGCTGTAAATGGAGATGCGAACTTCTGCTGCGGCCTGGAGCACGAGACTTTATCCCCTCAGGGAGTGGGGGACCCATTGGGGCCCTAACAAGGCAGTTGGCCACTCCAGGGGAAGAGTTGAAAGTGAAACTACCTGGGGGTTGAGTTATGGCACCAGAGAAGCTAATGGCTTGTAGGGCAGGCGACTCTGGTGTGTGGGGACCGAGGCAAGAGAGTGAATCTGCTGCACTCCTCTCCCCCCCCCCCCGCTTCCCCACCCCTCTCTGCCCTGACTGTCTGTGAAACCTTCGTGATCGGCATTAGTGAAAAGAGCTGTTAAGGGTTATTCACCCCCCCCCACACACACACACACGTGTTTCCCTCAATCTGAATGTTTCTGGGGAGAGGGAGAGAGAGAGAGAGAGAAAGAAAGAAAGAAAGAAAGACCCGGGCCCTTTCTACCCATCTCTGGCATGTTTCCCATTATAACCACCTTTCCTTTCCACTTAACCCTTCGGCTCCCGCATCCTGCGGGTGTTCCGCCGCCAGGACCATTGGGTCAGCCTGTGTGTGTCTTTTAAGGCAGAAAACCCCAGAGCCCCAAAGCAGGGCATTGTACGGTACCCCACCATGGGGTGTAAAGTGCACATCTCTGACTCTTTATTCACTGCTCCTTCAAAAACCCCAGGGCCGGCTGGTGACTTTCTATGAACTACAGAGCGCTAAGGACTGAAGCCCACGAGAGTCTAAACTGTTTGTTACTTGTGTTTTATATAATGAATATATACATAATGAATTGATAAATACACACGTACACACGCACATATTTTATAACATACACACACACACATCTATATAAACACACATATATACACATATATGCATAATTAATATATAGTCCAAAATATATGCATATTACAATACATATTCATGCTGCAAAATAAACCTATATACATACATGTCACTATTTTTCAATATTTACATTGCAAGAGGCATCTACATATATACCTATTGCTAAATACACTCACATATATATATATAGTGGGAAAGAGGCACATGTATATGATTATTTTGCAGAATAAATACCTATTGCAATAGGAGTATATTTTGCAATAGGGATCTATGCATATAATAAAGAAAGATAATGGAAAGTATATGTGTGGGTGTTGGGGGGGATATTACTCACGAAAAAGGTGTATTTGTATTGGGGGGGTTCTGAAAGAAAGAAAGAAAGAAAGAAAGAAAGAAAGAAAGAAAGAAAAAGAAAAAGTTAGTGGAAAGGGAGCCTGCTAGTTACTAACCTCATGTGTTTTAATAACCATCTCCTCCCCACCTCCCTTCCCTTTGTCTCCAGTGAAATCAGGAGACTGTGGCTTTGCTGGGGAGACAAACGCAGTCTCTCCCAGGACAAACTTCAGCACCAAGCAACTGACCGAACTGGAGAAAGAATTCCACTTCAACAAGTACCTGACCCGGGCCAGGCGGGTTGAGATCGCCTGTGCCTTGCAGCTCAACGAAACCCAGGTGAAGATCTGGTTCCAGAACCGCAGGATGAAGCAGAAGAAGAGGGAGAGGGCGAGTTTCCCTGAGGGATCGGCTGGCTGCAATGGACCGGAGTCCTCCTCTGACAAATCAGACATCACCTCCCCAGCTACCTCTCCTAGCAGAAGTAACGAGGCTACCACGCCTCCAATCTGACCGAGGCTCTTGCTTTGTTAGAACTTCTGTTCTGATCTCGGACAGAGAAACAGAAGAGAGACTTTCCCATCAGAAAAGATCCACTCAGCCCCCTGCATTCATCTTGCTGGGGAAGAGAGAAGGGTGCAGTGCTCCTGGCAAACTTTGCAATGGACTTGGGGATGAAAGCGCACACCAAAAACATGTGCAGAGACTTCCAGACTCACCACCATTACCACCACCAATAGCACAGGTGCCAGCATTGTGCTGTTAAATCGGTGTCCTTCCAATAGATGCAGGTGGTATATTAATAAATGCTGTGCTTAAAAAAAGCCACTTTCCCCTCAAAATTCCTAGAGCAGAGGTGAATAGAGAGGGTCAAATATTTTTTTTCAAAAACATGAACTTTTTACAAAAAATGCAGCCAACAAAAAGTTTTCACACACTCTTGATTCTTTGTGAGTAGTTGTGACATTTTTTCCACTAAAAGTTTCAATTACATTTTTATTCACAATACAGTTCTACTTTTTCCACAAAAAGTTTCTACAACATCTTTAGTCACAAAAAGATTACTAAATTTGTTAGTCTCTAAAGTGCCACAAGTACTCCTGTTCTTTTTAAAAAGATTACATTCATTTTTTCCACAAAAAGGCTCATTTTTCTTGGAAGGGTTTGATGAACAGTTTTTGCTAGAAGTGTTGACAAATTATTTCCCCCCAAAAGTTTTGACATGTGCTTTATTCACAATTTTTGATGAATTTTTTTTTCCACAAAAATTCTTGACAAAGTTGTTTTCGATGCATTTTTTTCACGAAAAGTTTCACCATTTTTTCCCCACCAAATAGTTCAGTGACATGTTTTCCACAAAAAGTTCTGACAACAATTTGGGGAATAATTTTCATATTTTAGCTCTAATTCCAAATGTTCCTATTTCACTAGTTTTCAAGTTTTAGAAGGAACTAGAGCCATTATCTCCTGGGAGTAATTATTTTAGAGATATGTAATACAGTTACATACCATTTTGGTGAAATTTCTAGGGAGAATAATGCTCTTCAGAAGTATTTTTAAGACCAGGACATTTTTCCTGAACTCAGCATTCTGGCCACAGACAGCCATTCTGGCCAAGGATGGTTATCACATTTTCTTGAATGCCGTCTCTCTACTCTTGTGCCCACACATCTAAACGATACCCTAGTGGGTGAGTTAACCCTCCCTCTGATGTGATACTAAAGGGGCAGAAAGAGCCTCGTCTCAAGCCCATTGAAGTCAATGGAAAGAATCTAGTGGTCTTTAATGGACTTTGGATCTAATCCATATGAAACAAGTTATATGCAGTATAATCAGTGGGCTGACACAGATATTTGATAAAGCAAATATGATGTTTCCCCCATCTTTTAAATGTGCTTTCCTAGGCTAAATGCACCTTCAGCACAAATGGATAGGAGAGGAAATGTGAGTTCAAAATCAGGCTTAGAAATACAAGAGACATGGTAATTGTGCTATAAATAACCCCTTCAGTCAGTAAAAGCTTAGAAGTGTATTATTTATTTTCACATTTCCGAGGTTCTTCATTAACATTTAAATCTCCTAACAGCTGGGAAGAAACGCACTCTTCATATTAAAAGTGGATTTAATTTATAGCAAGGAGTAGTTGAGTGAAAGCAACAAAGAAAATGCAAAAATCAGGGGGTTTGTCACAGAACTTTGACAGGACAGTGGTGATGGGATGGAGAGACGGGAATAGTTGCCTTTTAAAACCTTAATAAAGGGTTAAATGGAGGCCAACATTTTATCAAGAACAATCAATAATAAGTGTTATAATAACCCTAGGTAACGTTACAGCCACTTATGCTGAGACAAAGTTTGCACACAGTGCCTCACTTTCGAGAAATAATTGGTTCATTTTAATCACCGTGTTTTATTAATTATTATTATTATTATTATTGATGTTTTACTATCCAAACATATTTGAGAAATGCCTTTTGTGCATGGAGAATACTGGTTTATTTTCACTCGGATCATATATTACAAGAGACTAACCCAATGAAAGGACTTAGGTGGCTTAAAAGTACATTTGATTAAAAAATATACACAGCATTCTTCTTCAACAGCCGCTGGATTTATACCAAATGGTCTGCTAACCAAATTTCCCTCGGTCTTCCTTGCCACTCGTCACTGAAAGGATTAATGGGGTGGTGGTGGGGTTTCAACACCTCTAAATAATACACTCATCAGTGGAATTTCAGGCAGGACAATCCCCAGAAACTGTTGCCTTTTTAATCTGATCTTTAAATTTGCAGTTCACTCCATTTTGCTGGCAAAAAAAGAAAACACACATGAAACAATAGCTAGGAAACCAAATATGCTAATTTGCCACCAACGCTATTATTTTGTCTTTCCCTGTTGCAAAATTCTAATCACACTTTGGAAATGAGCTGTGAGTTGTTCACTAAAGTACTCATTTTGAATTAGGGTTGCTGCTGTGTTTTAAATGATTTTTCCTCGCGCTGCTATGTAACTAAATTTTTATCTTCTTGCCTGTTTAAAAATTCTCCTAATTTGTTATCTTAAATTACTCCATGTGGAAAGAAAAGGTAAATTCAGACATTTTGGTGAAACCGCAAAATGTCTAGAATCAACACAGGAAAGAAAGAAAAAGTTTAATTTAAAATGTTTGGGGATTGCAAGGTTTAGTTATGACCGCAATCTAAAACTGGCACATCTTCCTTTAAACCAAAGATGTATAGTGAATCCAGCTAAATTCATGGAACATGAGACTTCTTTTGACACTGGGGAATATTTAAAAGGCACGTGAAAATGAAGGGAGCTATTGCAAAATGTCTACCTCTTATTTGCCAGGACTATCAGAATGTATGCAGTGTTGTTGTAGCAGTGTTGGTCCCGGGTATTAGAGAGACAAGGTGGGTGAAGTAGTATCTTTTTTTGGAGCAACTTCTGTTGGTGAGAGAGACACATTTTGAGCTACAGAGCTCTTCTTCAGGACTTCTGTATAGCTCGAAAGCTTGTCTCTCTCGCCAGCTGAAGTTGGTCCAGTAAAAGATATTCCCTGACCCACCTTGTCCCTCAGGACTATCGGAAGGAAGATATGGATTTATTTATTGATTTATTTATTTTCTTTCAATATGAAGTGGAACGTGTGTTGTGGTGGGGAGGGGAAATGGACACGTGAAAGGATAACATTAAAAATTGTCTTGGTTTGATTCTATTTGTGTTACCTTATTGTTGTTCTTTCTTTTATTTACCATCTATGTTAAGATGGCACCTCGGCTCCAGTGAGTTGGAATCTCTATGTTACAGTGTGACTGGGCGCATTACACACACATTGTAATAGACAGTTCCTGCCCCAAAGTCTTTGCAATATTGCATTGTGAATCTAACTTTCTCCCCTGCTTTGAAAATGGATCTCTCTGGAGCAAATTTGCTCCAAAGAAGCAAAACTGATACAGCATTTTGGGAAACAAGTAGGGATCTGCAAAGATATCATTCACATTTCGATAAAAAAATTGACGAAATTTCAAAATTAAAAATATATACACCAATCAGCTTGAAATAAAACCCCTGATCTCTTTTTGCTGTAAGTAAATAGGTTGCAAGTGTGAGATATTTCATACCTACTGTAGGGATAAAACCCTTGAGGCACCGACTGTGGCTTCCAAACTTGTATCGGTTCATGCACCACCTTCTTAAAATTGTTGTGACGTGAATTGCTGGAACATCAAGCTTAGGTAGCATGAGTGGTACATGTACTACAGCTGGGGAACCCCTGGTCTAGACTCATAGATTCCAAGCCCAGAAGGGACCATTATGATCATCTCATCTGATTTCCTGCTCAGCACACGCCAGAGAATTTCACCGAGTGATTCCTTCACTAGGTCCCATAACGTACAGTTGAACCAACAGCTTGCGATTGATTGTCCACAATGTGCGGTCACATGGTTGTAGGTGAGGTCTTTAGGTGTACATCACCTCTAACTTCTGGAACCCTAAGGGTACATCTACACTGCAGCTGGAAGTGTGATTCCGATCTTGGGTAGACGTAGGTGCGCTAGTTTTAACTGAGCTAGCATGCTAAAAATAGCAGTGTAGCCCGGGATGGCAAGAGCACTGGCACAGGCTAGCCACCAGAGTACAATCCCATCCATGTCCCTAGGTCCATCCTCAGGAGGCTAGCCCTTGCTGCCGTAGCTATTTTTAGTGTGCGGGCTTAATCAAAGCTAGCACATGTACGTCTACCCGAGCTGGAAGTTACAGATCCAGCTTCAGTGTATGTGTATCCCATGGCTCATGCTCATGTCTGCATAAAGCAGTGAAGCATTGGCAACCACAAGCGTTCAAAAATTACAAGCCTGCCCACCCCAGCACAAAACTGGCTTAAAAATCAGATGATTTAAAGCAATAATAATAAATTGGGGGGAATCCCTTTAGTTCCCTTCTTGTTTCTGAGCCTTTCGGTGTCACCTTTTCAGGTTTTTTTCCTGCAACCATGAGGCCAGAAACTTGCTATTTTATAAAAATGATAGCTGAGAGGCTCACACAAATCCCATGATTCCAGGAGCTGGGGCTTTAAGAAAAACACCAAACTCACGATGAAATCACCAGATTTTGGCAACACTGTGTATGGGGTACAAGCATGTTTGGGGAATCCCTTAATAAGAAGGTACTTTGCTGAATCAATTTCTTTCGTCTCAGCATTGTACACCCCAGATTGTGTCTACTGCATTTGGGCCTGTTAGAACATTTCATATTTTCTCTGTGTTGTACAGGCTTTATTCTAAAATTACAGCTGTCTTACAGAAAATCCATACAGGCCTACTCTTCCTTTCACCTCTGACCTTTTGACCTCTTCCTTGCCTGAGGACAGAGTTGACCCGGTCATTGACTAACCCTGAGTCAATAAGTCTGCCTTCATTAGCATAAAACATGAATCTAGTGGCAGCTTGACAAATTATAACTTCAAGCTAAAGATCTGCCAACTAGCTAACTCCTGTAACGACTATTTATCATTGGAAATGGTAAATCATAGGAATCTAGATGACTCAATTATTTGGGTATAAAAAAAAAGAGAAAGAAAGAAAGAATTCTTTGCGACAGGATGGTTAAAGACAAAGCCTTGCCCCAAAACATGAAAATGGTCATGAAGCAAGGATTCTGTTCTCTCTCTTCCCAGATCTTTCTTTCTTTCCTCTGTGTCTGTCTCTTTCTTTTACTCATTCCCTCTTTGTCCCTCCATCTAATTTTTCTTTTCCTTTGTCATCCTCTCTTTGCAAATCTCGCCTTCTCTTTGTCTCTTTTGTCCTTTTCCGCTTTCTCTTTGTCTCTATTTCTCTTTTTATCTGTCCCATTCTTTCTTTCTATTCATCATTCTCTCTCCTACTCTTCTCTCCTCTACTTTCTTTCTTTCCATCTCCCATCTTCAGACACTCCCATTTTTCTAGCTTTCTCCTCCTCCTCCTCACCAAATTTCTCCTTTTCCCCAGCGTGCTGCTTTGCTGATCCACTGCCCTAGCTGAGGAATTGACATAGAAGGGAACAGAAGCTTTT